ATGGTAAATGGGCCAATAAAGGATGGTTTAAGTTTCTTGTTACCCCCTAGATTATTAAAATTCACTGTGGATAGTAAAACCTTATCCCCAATTTTAAAATCTGGTTGTTTATGGCTCTTATCCCATCTGTTCTTGTTATATTCTACTGCCTCTTCAACACATTTTTTAGCGTGATTTTGAGTAACATCAAGCATCTTTTTAAAGTCTAGAGCAGTAGGGTGTATATGTGGTAACTTATCATTAAGGGTATCCTTTGGAATTCTTGGGATCCAACCTCTCTCAAGGACATATGGTACTTCATTTGAGGTTGAATGCTTGCTGCTATTGTATGCAATCTCAAGAGCAGGTAATAAACTAACCCAATCATGAGTATAGCCATCATGATTCTTAAATTCTAAACCAAATGAGCAGAATCTCCTGAGCATATCCTCCAAGGTTTGGATCATTCTTTCAGCCAGCCCATCAGTTTGAGGATGGTAGGCTGTGGAAAAGGCTAATTTAGTTCCTAGCATGTCATGTAGATTTCTCCAAAATTCTGAAGTAAATTTTGGATCCCTATCACTGATGATAATTTTGGGAATTCCCACGTCAGCCATAATTCTGTTCCAAAACAGCATGGCTACTTCCATTGCGGTGTCATCTTTATGATTTGGGATAAACCTGGCTCTCTTGGAGTACCTGTCTACTACCACTAGGACAGAATTATAAGAGTAAGCTCCTCCAGGAGGTAATCCTGTGACAAAGTCCATATTAATGATTTCCCACTTAGTACTGGGTTCAGTAATTTTCTGGAGTAGCCCATATCTTTTCCCTGTTTGTTTATTTGATTTTTGGCAAATTTCACAAGACTTGACATAATTGGTAACTTGGGATCTCCAGTCAGTCTAACCACCAGGCAGTATGTTTTATCCTTTCCACTGTTCTGTCTTCAGAAAAGTGGCCAGAATTAACATTATCATGGCATTCATAAAGAATGTTGTCAATTTGTGCCTGGTCACAGAGTACTAAAACACTAGAGTGTCTATTTCTGTAGTATAGCAGTCCATCCAATAAGGTGAATTTTCCTTCAGCGTAAGGTTTTGCCAAATTAGGGGGTAGGCTAGCAATTAACTCAGGGGAACTATTTTCATTGCTTAAAATATCAACTAATTTTAACAGTTCAATATTGTCCTTATAGCTGTCTTGGAATAGGCTGTAAAAGGCTGTATCTAAATCACACACGTGAATACCTAAAATTGGAAAAATGTCCTCATCTTCAGGATCCCATGCTGGGTTATCTGGTGTGTTGGGCAAGGCCCATCTACTAAGCCCATCTGCATTCATATGCTTAATGCCAGCTTTGTGAACAATGGTCATATGTCCTCTGTATTGTTGAATAGCAATTTGCCACCTGAGCATATGTCTGTTAGGTGTTTTCATATTCATGAGGGTTTTAACTGCTGTGCAATCAGTGACTACTACAACTTTTGTGCCTTCCAGGTAGTAATGTAATTTTTCAAGTGACCAGACTAATGCCAAACACTCCATCTGACTTGCTCCATATTTCCTCTCACTAGATTTGATTTGCCTAGAGATAAACAGTACTGGTTTTTCAGTTGGAATATCATCAATCTCAAATTCTTGGTGCAAAGCTGCGCCCAAACCATCTAGACAAGCATCTATATACAAAATAAATGGTTTGGTATAATCAGGTTGGGCCAAAACAGGAGCAGTGGTCATAAGGTGTTTAAGTTGCTCATAATCCTGGACACGGGAATATGTCATTTCATATATTACATCTTTACTACAAATTTCATAAAGACTATGAGTAATACTGGCAAATTTGGGGATATGTTGCCTATAGTAGCTACAAAAGCCTAGAAATGATTGCACTTCTGTAATATTCTGAGGCATGGGCTTTAACACGATAGCTGCTACTCTGTGCTGATCTATGGCTAAGGTTAAACCTGAAACTATGTGTCCCAATGCTTTAAGTTCTCCATAACCAAAATTACATTTCTTAATGGACATCTTGAGGCCAGATTCTACCGCCATTTCAAGCACAGAAGTAATTTTTTCCAGATGTGTGGCCCAATTATCAGAATAAATGATAATGTCATCTATGTAGACCATCATCCAATTTTGACGGATGAAGCTCCCAAATATAGAATCCATCATCCTTTGAAAATGGGATGGTGCATTTTTAATTCCAAAAGGCATTCTGAGGTACTCATAAACACCTAAATGGCATATAATGCGCATAAATTGTCTGCTATTTGGTTCAATAGGTATTTGATGGAATCCCTTAAGCACATCCATAGTGGTAATATATTTTGCCTTAGACAAATTATGCAAAGAGTGGTCAATCCTAGGAATGGGATAATTATCAGCTTTGGTATAATTATTCAAAGCTCTAAAATCTCCAACCATCCTGGACTTTTCATTATGCCATGCAATAATTACAGGAGTGGTAATTTCTACCTGCTCATTATGGCCCACTTTTCTTATAACTTTAAGATCCAAAAGTTCTTTGATATGAGTTTCCAAAGCCACTCTGGATTTTGGGCTAGAAGGATAAGGGGCTCTTCTAAGGGCAGGAGGTTACGGAGGTTGACAAGTTAGTTCTAACTTGATGTCATGTCCTTTGACATTTCCAATGGGCTCTTCTGTTGTGCAGAAAGCCTCTTTATACTTGTAGCATATTTTTAAGACATCTTTTTTCTGCTCTTGGTTTAGTATATCACTCACAGCTGCTTGTGACAGATACTCTTTATCAAACTCAATAAGTTCCTTTGTCAGGCAAGATACTTCTTTGATTGGCTCAGATATTTTAATGTTCACATTACAAATCTGGAATTTCCTTTTCCAGTCTCCACCAATGGTATAGTATCTATTTTTGCTCTGAAAAATATCTATTCCATACAAGCAGAAAGTGTCATTTCCCAAAATAAAATATTCACATAAAGCATCTTGTAAAACAACAAATTCAACATTGAGTCTTAAAGATCCTTTGGAGTGAGGGAATATTAAGGGCATACTAATTACACCAAGGGGTTTCATGGAAGAATTACAACTGCTGAACTTGGCTTTAGGTACTGGTAGCAAGTAATTTTTCCATTCAGGGTAACAAGTATCAAGGAAATCACTACTAGTGCATGAGCAGAAAGCTCCAATGTCAAGCAAAGCTTTCCATTCTTTACCTTGGAACATGACCGTAGTGTAACTGGTTTTTCCCATAGTGTAGCTCATACCTATCTCAGGCTTGTTGGACAAAAGTTTGGCGTCAGAAATGTGGCCAACTTCCATTGTAGAATCCCATTTTTGAGGCAAATTTGACTCACCGTGGATGGCATTAATTTCAAACTCATCTCCAATATCTGCTGATATAACCTGGAATCTGTACTCTGATTCCTCAGATTGGTGATGATTTTGATGGAAATCTGAGTCTTCAGGTTCTACTTGTACCATCTCAAACCTGGAAGATGTTTCTTCCTCACTGTCAGGCTCAATGTTGACATTATTTATCCTTTTTCTGGGATTGGGGCAATCAGGTCTCTTGTGTCCTTTTTCCCCACAATTGTAGCATTCTGGTATGACAACTTTCTTAGGGACAATTTCAGCAGGTTTGCCTTCTTTTTCCTTAGGAGCAGGATTTTTTGAAGTTACTTCCCTTCTGTCTGAATAATTTTCCTTGTGTCTTCTGTTGGCACCAGTCATTTCAATGACTTCTTCCATAAAATTAATAAATGTGGATAAATCAGTGTCCATGTTTGGAAGTCTACATCTCATTTGGTGCTCAAGATTTCCTTTACATTGATCAAGCAATTTATCATTGATGTCTAATTGCGTGGGATTTTTGTACATACAATCAATCCTCTTTTTCTGCGTGAGACACCATTTGTGAGGTTTGTCCTTTGTGGGATCAAAGTAATCACTCTCAAAGGCTCTTCTGATTTTCTGCTCCCATAATCTGGTACCAAAGTGAGCTTTGATTAATTTTTTCCAAGTGTCCCAAGATTGTTTTCCAACAGATTCTTGTTTTTCTATAAACCACTCAAGAGCTACTCCTGTAAATAACCTTGGAAGTCTACTAAGGACAAATTCATCATCTGCACTGTAAGACAACAACATGTGGTCAATATATTTAATAAAACTTATATGGTCATAGTCATCTGAGCCGGCAAATTTAGGCCAGTCAGTGACAGGAGGGACCAGTTTATTTAAAGTGGCCAGATCCATATTATAGTACCTAGATGGAACTCTATTGTTATTATGTTGGGATTCTGGTGGCGCGGAAGAGGAAGTATGATGACTCAAATGGGGCGGAGAATTCCTGTGCTGCTGCGGCACAGCATTTATTTGAGATCTGTTGAGATGAGGCGCAACATCTCTTGGTGTTTCTTCCATGTATGGATTGTTAAAGTGCGGTTGTTCCTGATGCACTGTTCGTTGAAGGACTTCCCTCTTGCTTAGATTATCAGGACCGCAGGGCGCAGAGTTATAAGGGATATGTTGAGCTAACAAGGAGCAAATACTTGTTTGTATCTCTGTTTTCATATCTGTGCGAAGTGAAGAAATCTGTTCATTTATTAGGTTTTTTATTCCTTCAGTCCTGATATTCTGCTGGCAAAGTAGGTCTTTGATGGTATCAAGATCATCTTTCTTTTTAGCATTCTCAACGATATCGTCTTCTCTTATGGTAGATATAATGTGGTCGGCGGTGGTACTTAAGTCTTTGTTGAGTTTATCAACGGACACAACTAACTTAGAGCAAGCCTTTTCGCTTTTGGCAGTGTTTTCGGCAATAATTTTTGTCATTTCGGGGTTTATGGACAAAGGATTGCGTAAAATGTTATCAAACTGTAATGACAAAGAAGTAGAGGTTTTTTTATGAGATCTAGCACTCAAATCTAAGCTATTTACAATCGTTTTAAAATTTCCTTCGGCATTGCTGTCAATAGCCGAGAGATTCTTGTTAACGAGGTCTAGGCTATCTAAGATAGCGGTTAAGATTTTTAAATCTAGTCCGCCATGTGGCGGTACGCTGCTTCGAGGGTGTTGCAGCCCCTCATGACCTGTTTCCAACGGTTCGGGTCGTTGTAAAGTTCCTTCACCCCTTTGGAGGAGGAGGAGCGTTTCTTCCCGTCGTTTTTCTTTGGAGCGTTGGGATATAGTTCTTTTTTGATCGTCCAAGGGTTCCAGCCCTTGACGAACTCCTCTAATTCCTTGTGAGGAATCAGTTTCTGGAGAACCTTTTGGCTTTCCTGCGCTTGACAGAGGAGTGCTTTGAGCTCCTCTGTCGCGCCGGACGGTCGGGCTGCTTCGCACTTCTTCCAAAGAAGAATGTGCTCCTTCGTCAGCAATTGAATCTTCTCCTCCTTCGAGAGGACTCTCACGTCCGGTGAATTGCGGCGTGGCTGGATATTTGCCAAGGAGGTCGATGCTTGGGGATCCAAATCCATCGCGTCCGAGGCTGGCTCTACCTGTGCTGTCGTCCGGGCTATCTCTTCGGGGACTATGGCTGAGGTCGTGGTTCTCTGAAACGTCGCTCGAGCGTTCGTCGCCGTGGCTAAGCCGTTTTTGACCAATGTCTCCTCCGTCGGTTTCTCGACCAGGACAGGTTGCATCTTTTTCTGGATGGTAATCAAGCGGAGACGGTTGACCCTCTCCTCCAGTTGATTTGCTACGCCTGGGTCGAGTGGCTGGGGGAAGGGGACCGTGCAGGTCGGGGTTGTTGGACCTGGTCGACATTATTTGTTTTTTATCCCCACAAAAAAAAATATTTTAATTTTATATTATTGGATTGTCAACAAGGATGACAAAAAAGGGGAGAGAGTTCAAGCAAGTTTATTAACCTGAGACGGGGCTATGAGCCGCGGTTTGAGCAGCGGGAGTGGTAGCGGCGCTGGAGCTAGAAGTAACAGACACTAGAATAAGACCGAAAAAAGAAAGGAATCTTTTTGTGAGTTTTTGTAAACAGGCAGTTTTTCGAAAAAAGGAGATTTAAGACGTACTTTTTGCAAGTCGCTTGGCTCTGTTTTTGGCTAGAATTTCGCGGCGTCTAGCTTGATGTTGTCGCTTAAGTGAGTTGAAGGAAAACAGACTGTTAATTCTTAACTCTTCGTTGTGTTCGACGCGTGCAAGTGCTCGAGCGCGTTGTTCTTGAGGGGTAAGTAATTCCCAAGGAGAAGGTTTATAGTCCGCTGCGCGCTGTGCTTTTTCGGAGGCAAGGAAGTCAAGATAATATTGAATTAGTCTCGCAGTTTCTTGCAATTCCACTATAAGGAAAAGGGTAGTAAGAAAAATGTTTTTTTAGGATTTATTTTGAGCTTTTTTTATAAGATGTTTTAGGTGGTTTGATTTTTGTAAAAAAATTCAAGAGGAAGGAGTAAAAAAATATGATTTTTTGTATGTGTTTTGTTTTTATTTTTTAAAGAAAAAATAGTACCAGGTTTTTATCAAAAGATAAAAATTATTCCCGGCCAGACCCCCAATTGTCAGCCTGGGTGATGCCAAGAGCTAGACTCTTCTAGCTACACCAGGTGCAAAGCTAAGAAAAATGGTGTACAAGTGTGGGTAACACTTGGAATGGGGAGGTAATTGATATTAAGAAAAGAAATAATAAAAACTGTTAAGTTTTTATAAAAGGAGGGGCCTGAGTTACAGGGGCTTTTATGGTGCCCTCCAAGGAATCAGGACCTGTTAAACAGGGGTATTTTTGATGTACCTGATGATCTGGTCCTTTGTGTAAAGGAGTATGCCCAGACAAAATGCCTACAACTGAAGTATCAAGGAAATATTACCTACTTAGTACTATTTCCAAGCCAAGGGGACTTCAGGTGGGTGAAGACTGGTCTGGGAGCGCTCAAAAAACTGGGTAACAGGTGTTGGAAGAGTGCTGGGGAACAGTTGATGGTTGGGTTGGTGATATCCAAGACAGAAACAGCAGGAACTGGGCCAAAAACAGGTGAAAAACTGGTTGTTGGAGGTGGTTATTGCTGGTAAATGGTGATGAAGATGGGGAATCAGAGTTTGGGGGCAAGAAGGGCTCCTTATATACTCATTCTGGGCCCTTGGAGGCGAACTCAGAACTCTGTTTGGCTGGTGCAAGCCTCCTACTAGGCATTGGTGACCTGTATCACTGCCTAGACACCTGTAGTCCTTGGTTACAGGTGGCAGAGGGCTGAAGTGAGGCTTGTAACACACACTAAGGGGTGCTGTGACGAGCCTGCAGCCATGTTTTGGTCAATGGGACCCTTTAATGACCAGTGGGCTGGTCTTAACCAGGCGTAGTTAGCCAAATTGGGCCAAAAAGGGCCACAAATGGCTTTTGACCAGCCAGTTACAGTTGTTGTGACAATGTAGTTAAGGTTTCAATGATGTCAATCTTATTTTTAGATTTTTCCCGAACTGCATGAACCTTAATTACATATGTAGACCTGTCACAACATGTAGTATGATGTAACTGGGAGGGTTTTTAGCAAAATGAGCAAGTGTCACTCAGAGTACACAGAAGTACCTGAAGGAGTAATAATTCAGGGGTACTTCTGGTGAGGTACCCTAGGTTATTTTGCATGAGAATTAAGAATCTGAAATAATATTCCAACTTTTGCTTAAGGTTTAGAAGTTATTTGTAGATTCATGTTAAAAATGTTTATTTATAAATGTTTTTGGTTTATTTTTATGTTTTTCTTCCATGACTAGTAAAACTTAATGTAATGAGTAATAATGTCTCTATTATAGTGATTCCACTTAATTAAATATTAATGTTTTTATATGTACATATGTAATAATGTCTCTATATTATGTACATATAAAATAGGCATTAATTACATATGTTATGGGGGTAGTATATGTAACAATGTCTCTAAATATTTATTATGCTATGGTCAGGTTGTTTCTGAATAGTAGCAGGCTGACAAGCGCATCCGGATCAATACAAGGTATTAATAGGCATCCAGGGTACTAAGACTCACCTGGGATTGATTTGGTTCTTCCCAAAATGGAATGGGCTAACAATACTTATTAAGCTTTAACAAAATTAGTTGGGGATTAACAGGTATTGTTGATGGGAATATTCAGCAAGGCTATGAATATTGTGGATAAGTTGAGTAAGTTGTACTGAAGCTTAAGAACAATAAAGGTAGACTAGATTTATGTTGGTTACGTGTACTGTATCAATAGGGGGTATCAAATATAACCAGATCCACCATTATTTAATTGACTGGTTTGAAAAAATCCACCCTTTTTTAAACAATTTGGTTATTCATAGGGGCTTGGAAAAACGACTCCTAAAAATTAGTCGACAACTCCCGTTTTGGTCGGGAGGTCGTCGAACGGGAGTCGTTCTTCCAATTCCCCCAAAAAATAGGGGAGTCGTCGTCCTAATTTCAATGGCGATTTTTTATTTTTTTTATTAAAACAAAAAGGGAGTCGTCCGCCTAAAGGGCGGGATTCGGCGCACCAATTACAACAAATATTTTAACCTTTTTTCTGCATTAAAAAAACGGGAGTCGTCCAACTCAAAACAGGAGTCGTCAACCTCTAGCGACCCTAAAAACTCAAAAAAAAATTCAGCAACTGGGGCCCTGCCCCAAAAGCACTTTATCAATGATTAAAAATTAGATTCATTGAGAAAAACAAATTCAAGAAATAAATGAAATAAATTGATGAGATGTTGAGAAATGTAAACAAAAAAACAATGAGAAATGTAAGAAAAAAACAGGGATAAAAGAATTCAATTGATGAGAAATATAAGAAAAAAAACATGGTAAAAAAGGACAAAGAGGAAAAAAATCAAAAACTAAAAAAGACACAGGATAAAAAAAACCCTAGTAGTGTTTCATTGGATTTTCAATTTTCCTCTCTACAGTCAATTGGAAACAATCAGAAAAGATGGCTTCCCATCCCCAAGCCTCTTCTGATGCCCTCTCTTTCCAACCCTTCATGAGCTGAGGGGCCGGAAAGAGTCTTGGGTTATGTAACTGCAAAGGGACAAAATGAGAAAATTCATATAGAAAAGCAATAAAAATTGGGGGGTTGGAATTGGGGGGGCAGAAAGAAGGGAGGCAGGTCTGGCAAAAGGTGGTAGAAAAAAAGAAAACAGGCCTCTCAAAGGCATTTGCCATTACCTCACCCATTGAAGGCATGGACATCCAATGAGCCTTTGGACAAGGTGCTGGTGAATCAACCATGATACGAGCCAAAGCGCTGTGGAGTTTGTGGAACACGTTTCAATACCAATCAGGACGGCGAACAATTTCGTTATACATCTCGTATCGTACCGCCATATAATCTCCCTGCCCACGGCCCAACCCGTAAGCCACAGCCCGAAATCCGCAGTGACCATCTGATC